TAAGCCAGAACAGTATTATTGTATAATACTGTATAAATAGTATTGTGTAATTAACTTGAACCATTGTGTATTTAACTCAAATCATTCTGCATTTAACTTGGATTTTGCTACAATGGGCACCATTCTTAACTATGGGTCGTCTGTAAACCAGGCGTTCTTAACCCGGAGACTACTGTATTTGCTCAAAATTCACTGAAATTTATGAGATTTCTTAATAAGTAAACTAAGCATACCTAAAACATTATTAGAATATATCTTAATAGATTTGAATGGTTATAAATATTAATAAAGAAAATGAATTTATCTGATACCTGTCTCTAAAAATATATTGCAATTTTATGGTGAGATTCTTTCCCAGTAAAGCTAATGGAAGTCTTTTTCCTAACTTCTAAGGGAGTACGATCAATTCTTCAGCTTTGGTATATTATTTGAATTATGTATTCCTTTATTTATTTATAAGACTTATAAAGACTTATATAGGTGCCCATTTTATGCACCATAATCCTGGGTGGCTTGCAAACAACAATAAAAACAGTAAAAAAAAATATAAAAACAATGTTTACTATGCCACTGTAGTCTAGAACTCTTATGTTTTTCTGTTTTGATATACATTTCCATGAACATTTTTGAGGGCCCTTCTGTTGAGTACTATATATTTTGGTAGCTGGGATCAAAGTAAAAGAAATTTGCTAATTTAGCAATATAGGAAACAACTTCTACAGTTGTTCTGTAGAACAGCTCAGTTATTCTGCTCTGAATTTGTATCCTACCACCAGTTTTAGAAAGGGATCTTTCTTTCAAGCTGTAAAAGAATTTTCTGAAAATGGTATTAATTCTGAAAAAGTTACAAAACTATAAAAAATGAAAGCATTATCTATTGCAGCTTAACATACTCAGATCTCTTCCAGACCCAGTTCTTCTGTTCACTGTGACTAGCAGAGACCCAGTTCAATAAAAGGGTATTGTATAGGTCTCCAGGTGATCCGACTGGATGCACTCCAGGTCACTGTGCAGCATTATAGAGATGATGTCTCTTGGATTTGTTTGGATTTTTGAAATGCATAGGTTGCTAAGTAAAGAAACTTTATATAACTCATGGATAAAAGTAATGAAGTGGCTTTGGTGTTTTGAAGTAGTCTCTAGAGCAGTCTTCACTGTTAAGATGTGCCAAGCCTTGGCTTTTCATTTCAGCTTTGAGAACTGCTGAAATAAACTTTAAAATAATTCCTATTTATATAATTCTTATTCTTGATGTTTTTGTTTCCATTTTTACCCTTGCAAAATATGAAAAAAAAAGTAGGGCAATAGTTAAGATAAAATAAAAAAGTTAAAATTTAAACAGTCAAAATAAGTTAAAAAATAAGTTAAAAATAAAATAAGTTTTTGAAAAGTTAAAATAAGTTAAGACATGCCAACCCCTCCATCACGGAACTTCAGTATCAACAATTAAAAATATAGGAATGTATGTGCTGGAAAAGTAACAGTCAGGATCAAAATGGCAAATGAAAAGTTTAGAGCAGGGAAGCAGAATAGACACATGATCTTCTCTCAGTGATAACAAGGCAAATTCAACTTACGGGAAATTCAGTTGAGAGGCAAGAGAAATTGGGTGATCTTAATCCCATTCTTTATTTTATGTATGTTTGAATACTACCAAACAGAATCAGCTTATGCATTTGTAAAACTTCTGGGCATCTTTTCCTTCTAAAAATCTAGGCTCATATTACACTCCTATTAAGCACATTTTCTAGATACATTAATGTATGATTGAAAACATAAACAATCACTTCAGACATTGTGTAGGCCTGATTATCTTGAGAACATGCAGTGGTTTCATATGCTTTGCAACCATGCTGCATTCAGAAGAAGTACCTGTGTTTTGGAGGCTGCCTTGATCTCTAAAATAGCATTAGATTTTCAAAATGTTTTTGGCATTGATGTATTAATGTCATTGCTTTTATTTTGTAATTGTTTTTATGTAGGAGCTGTGCTTTTGGCCAGCATGCAAGGATTAACAGTCAACATTGATCCAGTTTTATATACTTGGCTTATGTACCAGCCTCAGAAGCGAAGCAGCAGACTGATGCAGCAGGTAGGACATCTTTGCTTATTTACTTAGAGTCCTCAGGCAACGTGCAGTACAAACAGAATGCAGTCAGTACTGAAACATTAAAAATCAGATAAATCAGGGGAAATTAAGTGCTCACACATCTTGTACAATTTTTTTTTAACATACTATAGAAAGGATTTGATTTGTGCCATAAATAAAGCAAATAGGTCCAGCTAATGGGTATATTCCATAGCTGGGAGAAAATGTTCATAAGACACATTACATACACTTTGTAAAAAGAATAAAATAATTAAATAGTTTGAATTATAGGTGCAAAGACAGGGATTCAGACTATTTTTGTAGTAGTGCTCTTCGATATATTTTTTAAGGTTGCTCTGGAGGTTTGATTTGGCCACATTTGCTGGGAAAGAAAATGAATTTTTGTAGCCCCAATATTTCTCATATAAGGTATACATATTAAATATTTACCTTGAAGTGTGTTCCTGTTTTGATTAATCTTTGACAATCATTTTGTTTTGTAATTACTTGTTAATAAAATTGTTTTTAAGATTCTTTAAGAAGGTATTTTAATCAACTTATTTTACAAGTAGCACTGCTGGGATTTTAAATGAATAAAAGGTTTCAAATAAGATACTAGCCAAAATATTTTTTAAAAGGAGAGATTTGGAAATATTTAGATAAACATTGCCCATATAAACTTGAATAAAAAAAAAATCAGAAGATAACCAGGTATATCTTTGGTAGTTTGGGGGAAAGGTTATCACAAAGAATTTTTGTCTCAACTTATGTTGCTCTTCTTTGCAAAACTACTTTGGAAGCTCTTTTCCATTGTGGAATGTTGTTCCATCAGAAAATGAATGGCTAGGTAGAATGGGATTCAGCCCAGAGTACAGAGGTGTCTACAGAATAATTCTGACTAGTCTTAGAAATGGCGAAAAGATACTTATAGAAGAGAAGCTGGTCTGCTTAAGATACTGGAAATGAGAACTGAGTAGAGTGCTTTAAGTCTATGTGTTCTTGATTTATTCCTTTTCTCAGAAGAATGAGTGCTATATTTTACACGCCTACTGGGTATTATTGTTTGTCTAACAACCAGATAATGTAAACTATTTATATATTCTTGATAATTTTGAATAAGTATGGCCACAATGTATTCGTAAGCATAGTTTCAAAAGAATATGAGACAGTTTGTTGTCTCATCCACATTTGGCCCACTGTCTGGGAAAATTTTGCCTGGCTTGTAATTTCTGTATAGTTGTATGCACACATGTGTGTGTGTGTATGTTTGTTTGTTGGACAGATAGATAGATATCCCATTTTCCATTAAAATAACTTCCAAAGAGGTGGTAAATGAAACAACAAATACTCTAATTACTTGGTTAGAAAACTACAACTTAAAATGGGTAATGTATTTTCTACCTAGTGGACTATAGTTATTTCTAAAACAACAGAGATTGATCCTTTAGAGAAAGATTCTTGTAGCCAGCTGTCTACAAAGCTTGCTTGTTTCTATAACCTGATGAAATGTGCCTACTGTTTGGAGAAGTGAGTATAATGAAGGATAATATAGAGAAAGTTAAAATGTTATATCCTTCTTGAGTTTCTTAGCCTAATTAAATTTAGTGCAAATTTTTGTATTAATGAAACTTAAGGTTTTGTAAATACATAATGTAGATATTGAGAGTTGGTGTCTTTGAGTTCTAAGATATTTTTATAAAGTTTGTGAAAAATGAAGTTTACTGATAAAGTTTTCAGTAGGTTTATTTTTTATATTTTTGCATTTTCTCAATGCTGTGGTATATTTGAGAAAAATTATACATTTATACATGAAGTATAGATGAGAGAAATATACATGAGAGGAATTCAGGGGCACTGAGACTTAGCTTGGATAGGATTATTTGAAGCCTCCCTACATCATCTCAGTTCTGACTTGTCAAGATATTACAGATTTGCAAACAAATTGAGAAAATCCAGAAATCTAAAATATAAATCTGCTGAAAAGTTTCAGTTGTTTAGTAACTAGCAGGTTTATATATCCTCTCATCAACATCAAGGGTTGAATAGTATTGAAGAGCAGGGAACTGACTTGCTAGTTATAAGTAGACCCAACCTGAATAATAGTCTTTGATTGAGAAATGCTCATGATTGAAGAAAGCAGCACATAACCGGACTTTACTTTTTTTTTAGTAAGATATCTCAAGAGTTTTTTAACTTGAAAGGTTGGAAAATAATACTGTAAAGAAATGATGAAAAACTTGTAAAGCCTATAAAACTGTGGCTAGAATCCACTCAATTTTAAAATATTGTAGATAGGTCTCTTAGAATATGTTTGTGATGAGATAGTATTTCCTTTAAGTGGTTCCAAAAGTAATCCATAGTGACAAATTGTAAAGTAGATAGTAGCCTGAAAATAGTTCTAAAAAATTACAGGTTTTGTATTGCTTAAAGCAAAGTTATCTTCTGTGTCATATACTTTGAATGTTCCATGTCTATGTTTGCTAGATTTGTCAGAAAAATTCTTGTAAAGTTTTGGGAGAGAGATTACTAGGAAATACAGTTTTGAGGTAGAGTTTTGATAATTTATAATTTAACCACGGCTACCTACTGTTACAGCTGTTTTCTTTATGAATAAGATTAAAAGTCTTAAATAATAATATTATTAAACTGTGTCTTTACTCTTAGAGAATTGCTAAAGTTAAAGATGGTAGTGCTTTTGTACTATTCAAAACTTCTATTGTAGACATGAAATGTTGAAAGAGAGGTCTGAATATGCATTTTTAATGTAATATGAGTTTAAAATGCTTTCTAAAAACATAGCATAATGCACTACATTTGTGCCTTTCCTACTGCACAAAAAATCCAGGGTGAGTTGTGGCGGCTGTTACTTATTTGAGTAAAGAACTATATAGTTCCTGTTGTGACTATGTGGTTAGTGCTATAGGGGCAAAAGAGGATGTTTTGTTATATTCGCAGTTGGCTTCTGCTTGTGTCTAAACATTTCTTTTTTATTTTGAATGGTGAACAATGTTGACATTCACTGAAAAACAATATAAAACCCATGGCAAGGCTTGTGAATGCCTGCATAAATCTACATAATGTCTTCTGAACCTATTCATTGGTTAGTAGTAAAATATGGTATTTATTTGGTTCTTTTTTAAAGCAATATTAGCATTCTGAAACTTCTAGTTAGATGTGTATTGTAAAACACTAATCTACAAATAGCAGTATGATGGCCTAGTTACTCTTTATTGATTTATTCACAGCCTAGCCCTATCTTTTCTCCAAAGAATCTTGTGGAAGGCCTTTCTGTAGAGAAAGCTGGTTAGCTTGTTCATTCATCATGAATATAAATGACACCACTTAAGATCCTGTAATCAATACTGGATACCAAGGAAGATGGTACTTCTGCCACATTATTGCAATGAGAAACTGAACTTTCTCTGGTGCTATAAAAAAAAAGCCATATTTTTCAGAATTATAGAAGATTGAGAAATATGCAGTAATTTGAGACTTACGGAATAATACTGGCAAGCCTAATGCAAATATAGTTGTAAATGAAAACATCCTTGATAGTATGAAAAAATATATATGCTGTTTTAGAAAAAATGGAAGAGATCTTGGAACATACTACGTGGTGTCCTTTGATCAATTCACTGTAGATACTTGGAAAATAATAATAATAATTATTGTTATTGTTATTGTTATTGTTATTATGTGCCTGTCTCACAGGGACACTCCCATTTCATATTTCTCAGAAGGACTACTGAGTCTTCAGAAAAGGTTTTGTAATAAGATAGCTAGAAAAAAGGAGCAAATGAGAATCTTTATTTTAGGATCTTATCTATTTCCTATCGCTCTCTGATGCTTTCATTTTTCCCCCTGTTTTCGTTATGTTTTGTAGGTTCTTATACAGTATTGTCTTTTGATTAAAAGGTTTTTAGGAATGCAGATCTAATTTTGCAATAGGATTTTGCTCGACCCCCTGATTCTTCCAAGCATGAGAATAAAGATTTCTTGGTAGCACGTAAGACATTTTTTAAAAGTATTCTTTTGGAAAGATCATGCGAAGTTTGGCTGCACTGTCAATATCTTTGGTAACAGTGAGTGATTTGTCTGCTCTGGAGCTGGTGATAAACCCAGTGTTTGATTCTAAGTTGAGAATTAGTATTGTTGTTATAGGTTACCATAAAAAGTAAAAGCTGGAACAAAACATGTACAGTGGGTAATTCTTTTCTGTCCTGCCAACCAACCGTGCCATTTTTCAGATAATCCATTTCATTCCCCTCTTTATTTCTTTATTTACGGACACATTCTTATTGGGCAGCTTTATGTTTTTCTTTCACTTCTGAAACTTCCTTTTCCATGTGAGTGTAGATGGCTATATAAGTATATAAAGTATGCAGCTTGTACATATGATTAAACTGACTAAAGCTTGTTGGATATCCGCAGCAATTTTATTCCTGTTTCAGAGACAAATAACTACTTGATTGAAATTAGGCATGCCATGAATGTTGTTATTGAAAAATAATAGTGAATAATGATTAAAAAAAAATATTGAGATGCAAAGAGAACTCACAAATAATTAAGATGATCATAAATAATATTGGAGTTACTTCAACCCATATAATAAATTATGAAAGACGGTAAAGAAATATTTACTTAATTTATATCAGCCACTTTTCTCCAAAGAAGTCAGTGATGCATATTTATATCCCCCACAGTACTATTTATATCCAGACTGTATCATCTCTAAGATGGCTAAAAATTACTAGGGTTTGGTCTCTAATCTGCTGTGTGTAATATCAATCTCTGTATACAATACATTCATTTTAAAAATTATGTAATTTATTACATTTACCTCCCATCTTTCCATTAGAGAGCACAAGTCATAAATGATTGTCCAACTCACCTACTTACTATCGTAGTCTCACAAGAACCTTGCCGCATATGTCAGGCTTGAGACTTCAGACTTCATGGCTTAGGGCACTGGTTCTTAAACCGTTTGACCCAATTCACCCTTT